AGGACGACAGGCGTGGGGTTAGGGGTTAAGAGGAAGCTTCAGGGTCGTGGGTTAAGAGGTGCTGGTGTCGCCCCGCTTGAAGGAGTTGTCCGTCGCGGGAGAACATACAACCTCAATGAGATCCAAGGTTTAGCCACCCCATCAGCATACATCTATCGTCAGCTCGGTTCGAAGTACATTCGGATCCCCGATCTTGATAACAAAACTCTGGTTATTGTTCAGCCGAATCGACGCAAGTGCGGACCAAAGCGCGTAACCAGTGATCCGCTACAGTCAATGATTCGAACTCTCGCCTTCAAGCAGCATATCGATCAGGCAGAGTACGACAAGCTCAGTATCGATGATAAAAAGCTTTTCAAGGAGATTCTCGCGATTACTCATCTTCAGTACAATTTCCATGATCGGGTTGAGGATCCGTTAGAAGCTCTAAAAGCTGAATATGATAAGCTAAAAGGTGAGCTCGAACTCGGTAATGATAATCTTTCAATCATTAAGCAACTTAAATCGCTTAGTGTGGATATGTACAGCAATCGAATGATTAATGATAAAGAGTTCAAGAAAATTATCACGCGACTACTGTAGAAACATGTTCTTTTTCAACCCCCGAATTATTTCCAGCTCAGCTGGTAGCTATGGAGACAACGCTGATCTCAACGTAGCCGAGCTAAAAGCTATCATGAAAAATCTTATCATTCATGACCGCCCACAGAAGACTCAGGCAGCTGTTTGGGCTACTGACCTTGATAAGTCCATAAGGAAGGTTGATGCATCGACTCAGACAGAAGGAGGAAGAGTATGGGCTTACACAAGTAAGAAAAAAATAAAACTGTGAATACCTTCGCTATTTAACGTCAGTTCTTTAAAGAGAAATTCCTTCTCTTACCAGGCGATTCTTGTATCCCTTGTAAATCTCTATTTTTTTCTGATTCACTGATATTTCAATGATAGCTGACTCTCCTTTATCATTTTTCGTAGGTAGGAAAACGCTATCTCCCAGAACCACAATTTGATCGGCCCGCAGAAGTGTTGATTCAACGATTTGACCTGGTTCATCAGTTGTTAAATTAGTTTTTAGCTCTTTGCTTGGTCCGCAACCCATGGTTATTAGAACTCTGGTCTATACGTTACCAAAGAAAAGTTTTTGAGAACCAAGAAGCGGTGTATGGTTTCGAAGTATCGATAGGTCCATGTCTTCTATAAAATCGCTGTTTTCGTTCAATATTACCATGGTCGTACTTACTGAATGCTCTCAATGGCGTGATGTCTCGATACTGTTGATAAGGTTCACCATTCCGCTTAATACCACCAAAAGATACAACTCGACCATCATCAAACACAGCATCATATTTCTTGTCTTTTCTCTTCGAAATACGAAATGTGAATGGCATGGTCTATATTAGAGATGATACCTTTGCTTCCAATTCCTCAATTCGATCCAAAAGATGTTGAATCATTTTCATATTGTATGCTGCAATTCGACTGTAATCAACGTTAAGTTGTGTTTTGGCAGGTTCAAACGATGGGTCTTCGCCTTCCTGAATATCGTCGCGATAGAAAACACTGATTAAATCGGTTAGATGGGCTGAGACAAGGTCTTGAGCTATGAGGCCCACCTCTTGACCAGGTCTATTTTCCGATTCGATCCAGTCATACAAAACTACATCACAATTATCGTAGAGTCGTTTGATGCGTTCGAGCGGACACGATTGAATGTTCCTCTTCAATCTGCGGTCGCTCGTCATCGCCATGGCTGTACAGGCAATGTATCCTCCGAATATACCCGCTACTGAATAT